CCTGTGCTACTATCTATTTCGTATGGAGAGCTAGAAATGACAGGATCTTTGGGGGAGTTATGGACTGTTCTGCCGCAGTTTTGGCAAAAATTAAAAAAGCTATTGCTATGAAAACTTTCAGCTGGAAGGATCTGTGAGGCTTTTTATGGACCGTTTTTGACAAGGACTATGATGAATGCTGTATCTGTACAGCTGCCCCTTGGATGGTCGACCCTGGCAACCAGGTGCTTTTCTCTTGTGCCGTCCCTTCGGTGGCTTCGGCTGTTTTTCGCACAAGAGATGCCTGAGTCCTTCTTAGCTTCGGCTAAGCCTGTTGTGTTTTGACCATTTTGGGTTCCTGTTATGTATTTTCCATTCCTTTTTGAAGTCTTCGATTCTCTTTTTGTTGTTGAGAATTGGGACTATAGTTTTTATTTTTACTTCTAACTCCTTTTTACATCAATAGAAGGGCTTTGCCCCAAATATTCCCCAAAAAAAAAATCAGGATACCTTAAAATATGCTCAAAAAGGGTTTCTGCACAATTTATTCTAAAAACTAATCAGAAGAATCATAATATGATGAGAGGAAAACACTTATTGTATACATCTTTAAATATATAAAGCTATATTTATGAGTTGGGACAATAATTAGGATCAGCTTAAGTTTTATTTTTCATCTTATATTTGAAAAAAATAAAATGTGTCGAATATCCTCATATAAATAAAAATAATTAAATTTGCTTTGATATTACTGCAATGCAAATTATTAATATCCAATATTGATGTTAAAAATTTTCAAATATAAGCTGATATAATTTATATTAGGAATATTTCTAAATTTAAAAGATGAGATTTGTTATTGTTCAGAGAATGTTCAAAGGTTTTATTTGTGACTTTTTTATTATTATTTTCTAAAGTAATTTTCAAAAAACTTTTGTACTACAAAAATGATTTAAAAATTAGTAAGAAAGTATCACCAACAAGGCCTTAAGACTTTTATAACAACTTTCAAATATTCTTGTATGGAAAAATTATTCTGTGCGGTCACCGGATAACGTCCGAAAGCAAATCAGAACATGTCATATCATTTTTTGCTATATATTAGTGTTGTGTACCGCTCTAATTTGCCTTCGAATGATTCTATGACCGCATAGAATAATTTCTTTCTTAGATGACACTCACTTTAAGATTAATTTGAATTTTTCCCCAAATGAATTTTATCAATTAGGTCAACAACTTCAAAGTTCTCATAAAAAAAATATTGCTTTCATGATTAAAGCAGTCCCATCCTATAAAATTGGCTACCTTATCCTTTCGCAGTCAATGATGCTTTAGTCATGGCTGATTTGATAAATGTCTGATGTCAAAGTATGCATCATCTGCATGTTATATTATGTTATTTAATCCCACATCGTGAAATTTACTAACCAATTGTTTGCACCGTTCAATAAAAGTCTATATAAAAAAAAAATTATGAAGGCAAAAGCTTCCTGACGGGGCCAGGTGACGATTGATGGTTCAAGCAGCCCTATTGACCAGCGTAGGGTATGTCTTAACGAAAGGTGCCGGTTTAAATAATGTGCTATTGATTTATTTGTATGGGTACTCTAAAAAAAGTGTTATGATTAGTTAAAATGCGGAATCTCATGTGCTTGCTGACCTTATCAATAATTAATAACATTTTAATTAGTTTATGTTATGAAACCTGCTCCTTAATAGGTCCCTTAACAGGGACATAATTTAGATTACTGTTTGCCATCTGAAGATATCATTGGTATTGGTGTAACATAGAATATATGAGTTGATAGATAGATGGTTTAATTATTTCTGTGTTTTATGTAGAAATTTGTGGATGGTGAAAAGAAAAAAAAAAAGTTAACAGATTAATTTTTTCTCATAATTGGATAGTTCAAAAGATCTATGCTGCCGTGTGTCTCTTGTGAAGGGTAAATTATTAGGTCCGGTCATTGGACAGAGAGAATCATTCAGATTTTTTTCTGTCTAAAGTAAAAGCGCAGTTGCTGTAGCAGTAACTGTGCTTTACTGTAGACAGAGAAATTCAGATGTATCTTTCTGTCAGGTGATCAGACCTAATAATTTTCCCTTGCAAAGGGGTTGAGGGATGTTGAAGTTAAAACTGAAATCAATCATTAAATGTTTAAAGCAAAACTCATTCATCATATGTAACAATTTGATGAGGTGAACAATTTGAAAATTACTTTAGCTCATAAAGAGTTAATGTTTGGTCGAGAATATCACCATGATTCATTCTCAAATATTTTTTTGACAGTATGGATGTCGTACGTGTCATCCAACCGGTGATTTTGCAGCCAAATGACACCATAGGTAATGGTTATGACCGTTGCCCTTTGAATCCAATGATTTGTAGCCAAATGATACCACTAAATTACGGTCATGGCCGGTGCCCGTAAGCTCTCAAATGATACTAAATTTTCGAGATATAAATTAATATGATATAATTGATAAAGTTTAAAGTCCTCTATCAGTTAAGGTGAATTCAAATTTATCCCCTTGGATAAATATTCTCACCTAGATCTACAAGGTACTATTGGACAAAGCAATTCATGGCTGCCGACAAGGATCCTTTTGTAAGGTTGGGCCTATTATCTCCTCTGACTATGTAGACCATAGACCATGATGATCTGGGATGATGAAATCATGGGATCTTGATTGGACTCGTCATCATTCTCCCATCATTCGCTTTAATTGCAAGATGGTGCATTTCTAATTGTAATAGTTAAATATTTAAATATCAACTAATGTTGCTACTATATAGTCTATATGTCAGATACATGCTGTCACGACCCGACCCGATCCGGGACGGATCCCGCTCGCGCCGGGTCGCGGCACGGAAACGAACAAACTGACTGACCATGATTTGGCTTTGGAATTTGTTTACTGAACTAAATCTTCCAAATTATTTCAACTCAAAAACCAACACAGAACAAACCATCATCAAATGCAGCGGAACAAATCATCTATATTTTTCTTTCTTTTTCCTCAAAACAATCATCTACAAATACGGTACATGGCTAACAGAAGAAATACAGAAGAAAAGTCATGACCGTATAAAAATCAAAAGTACAAAAGTACTTATCATAGATCGGACTCTGAACTCTAGTCCTGGACTTTCTTTCCTTTCCCAGAACTTGAAAATCACCAGAAAACGAGAGTGAGCTCAACAGCTCAGCAAAGCAACAAACCTCCAATCAAAACTTCCAGAATCCAAAACCAAACACATCAGACCCAAATCCAAATCAGAAACCAAAACAGAATCAGACAGATATCGGAATCTTCGTACAGAAATCATAATCGGACAGTTCATAACAAAACAGATCAAATCAGAACAGATACGGACATATCAAATCAAAATCAGATCGGAACTAAAATAGACATATATCAAATCAGAAACAGATCAAAACGGAACAAATCAGAACAAACAGATATCAGATATCATATATATAATTAATAGCTAAATTCCCTGACACTGACTGAATCTCATAGGATCCAGGCCCCTTATGTCTCCCTTTGTGCTCACGGCACCAGAACAGATGTGCTTATCACACCAGAATACATATATAGTGCTTATAGCACCTAAACAGATTTCCTCGGATCCGGAACAGAACAGAATTCAGATTGAGCTCATTTCAGATTTCCCAGACACTAACTGAATCTCATAGGATCCAGGCCCCTTATAACTCCCTTCGGACGAAAACGGCTCCGCGTCGTCCGAAAATCAACTTTTCCAAAAATGCCCTCGACTTTCTCTCTCCTCAAAATCAGATATTTTTTTTTTTTGATTTTCTCTCTCTTCAAAACGACTGATTTCAGCTTTATAATACTCAGATCGGCCCGGCCGATCGCCAGATCGTCCCAGGACGATCAGACCAAATTTGATCGTCCTGGACGGTTCCCAGGACTATTCTCCGACCGATATTTTAAACAGTGCACATCGGCCTGGCCGATGCCTCAATCGGCCTGGACAATGCCTACAGAAAAATACCTGGAGCAAATCTGGGCAAATTCTGGAGCAAATTCTCAACTGATCGTCCCAGGACGATCCCAGATCGTCCTGGACGATCCTGGAGCAGATTTTGATATTACACATGCTGCGTATCTGATTGACAATTAGCCTTAATCAAAAGTTCTCTCTTGTTATCGAGATGGGTAATTAACTATAGGGGCTTGCGTCAATAGGAAATCAAAACTCGGTTCATAAAATCCTCATAAAATGAGGGCAAAATCTTTGGGTAGTATCTTATTTCAAACCCAAATTGCCTTCTAAAAATTTATTACCAAACCTAATTCATTAAAACTCTCTCGAAAGAGGGGAGGCTGGGACGTGAATTTTTTGAGCCCATGACTTTCACCATTTATAATTATTGACTTTTTGAAAAGTAAGTGAAAAAATAAAAAAATAATGAAGGGAGAAAAACTCTAACAAGAAGAGAAGAGAAGAAATATTGAGAACAAAAGCCTAACCCACAGGGGCGGAACCAACTTAAGTTTTGAAGGGGGGCAAATACAATACACAAATAATTAAATATTAAAAAAATAATATTATATATCTACATATTACCTAAGGAACCTTTGGTTCCGCCCATGCTAATAACATGGAAAAAAATAGAAAGAAAAAAATATTTTAATTTTATTACTTTATTCAATAAAAAATGTGAAATAAATTTGTTGAAAAATATTACAAAACAAATAAATCGAAATAAAATCCTTAAGAGGGGTTGATGGCTAGAAGAGAAAGATAAGGCACATATATTGTAATCTAAGAGCAATAAAAGGGTAGATTTAATGGTTAGGACTTGATCAATGTGCTTAAAGATCTCTATTATGATTGGTCCCACGAGCATTCAACAATGTGTTTTTGAACATCATGTATGTATTGATGTTGTAGGTGACATAATATAGAAATATTGTTGGTCAATTTCATTTTAGTTGATGATGATGATGATGATGTGTATGATGCCACATAGTGTAAATAACATTGGTTTACTAAGAAGTTTTGTTTTAAGAATATATATATTACATTTTTTTGGATTGTATACATTACAATCATGTAAATAAAACATTTAGTTGCTATATCAGTTATTTCTTTTCTTTCTAGTCTAGTGGCTGTTTTCTACTAGATGGAAATCAATGGTTTTCCTGAAATAATTTTCCTTCAAACAGCATTAGGAGTAACATCTGGCTGGCACACGATTGCTAAAAAGCATTGACACCATACTAGCAGTGGCTGTTTTCTGCTATGATTGGACAGTTTTGGCCTTTAATCATCTTCCTAATTATGCAAGACATGTCCTGAATCAGGAATCATCCAGTGTCTTATCAAATCATCCAATAATCCCCCCAGTTTTTCATAAATAACATCATTTTGATCAAGTACTTGGTTTCCTGCATTGAAAGAATGGATTTTATTTCTTACAGCCACCCAGCTAGTTCCAATAGTCTTTTGCAATTCCCTCTCCTTGATTTCTTTCTTCAGTGATCTCACATCTTCCCATCTCCCAGCTGCAGCATATATATTTGATAACAGCAAGTAGTTTCCACTGTTCAGAGGTTCCACCTCATTAAGCTTTTCTGCAACAAATCTCGCCATTTCTATATTACAAGACAACTGACAAGCACTCAAAAGAGCTCTCCACACACTTGCATCCGGTTCCATAGGCATTGAGTGAACCAAGCTCAAAGCAGCATCAAGGAAACCAGAACGTCCAAGCAGATCAACCATGCACCCATAATGAATGAGCTGAGGTCTTATCCCGTACTCTTCAACCATGGAATGGAAGACTTTGTATCCCTCTTTCACCAAACCTGAATGGCTACAGGAAAACAAAACTGACACAAAAGTCACACCGGTAGGCTTTTCACCAGCTTTGAGCATTTCATCGAAGACATCTAATGCTTCATTCCCTTGCCCATGCATTCCATAAGCTGCAATCATTGCATTCCAAGAAGTAACATCTTTTTTCCTTAGCATCCTAAATATTTTTTTAGCATCCTTTATACTTCCACATTTTGTGTACATAGTTAGGAGCGCATTTCCCAAGCAGGTGGCATCAGAATCCAAAATGATGCCCCTTCTGGTAATGTGTGCATGCAAGGATCTCCCTTTGGGCAGATCAGCCATTCTTGCACAACATAGGAGGGAAATGATAATTGTGACCTCGTTGGGTTTCACTTCTGAATGCATTTGGCAGAAGAAAGAAAGAGCTTTAAGGGGTTGTCCAGCATAGAAGTAGTTTGTCATCATAGCATTCCAAGATACTATATCTCTATAAGAATAGCTCCAAAATAAACGCACAGCAGCTGCTTCATCTCCACAGTTCATGTACATATCACTTAGTGCAGTGCATAATGATGGATTCACATGAAGGCCATTTCTTATAATGTAATCATGAATTGACTTCCCTACATTTATGGAAGATTTTTCACATCCTGAAAGAAGGGAAATCATTGTGAATGAATTGGGCTTATCTTCTCCTTGTTGCATTTTATCAAACAGTTCCCAGGCCTGATATGAGTTTCCATGATCAATACAAGCCTTCATTATCTTGTTCCATGAAACTACCTCGCGTCTCTCCATTTTGTTAAACAAAGTAGAAGCACAGGATATAGAGCTGGATTCAACGTACATGCTTAGCAACGCACTCTCTATGCCAGGATCCTTTACATATCCAGTTTTTATAACAAAACCATGCAGTTCTTTGCCCATCTCAAGCTTGCCTGATTGAGAACAAATGGAAAGCATGGTAGCAAGTGTGATTGAATTTTCTGTAATATTGTTCTCCTGCATCCTCTTGAACAAGCCAAATGCTTCATTAAAACATGCACAGTTCCCATATGAAGCTATCATCGCATTCCACGTTGCGAGATCTGCAGAAAGTATCTTTACAAAAACTCGATAGGATGCTTCAACATATCTGCATTTTCCATACATGACAATCAATGCATTAGCTACATAAATGTCAGTGAGAAATCCATTTTTGATAGCTAATTGGTGAATCTGCCTTCCAAATTCTAAACATCCAAGATCTGCACAGGACTCCAAGATGGCCAGAAATGCGACGGAGTCGAAATCGATACCTTTGATAAGCATATCGACAAAGAGAATCATAGCTTCATCAAAATCCCCTGAATAAACGTAAGCATATAAAATAACATTCCAGCTGATTTTGTTTCTAATCTCCATCAAATTGAACACCGAGCGTGAAGCCATTGCATCATACTTAGAATAAAAATCAACCAAAGCGGTACCTACATGAACTTCAGAATTAAATAACCCATTCCTTAAGCAATAGCAATGAATCTCCTGGCCTTTTTGGATCTCCTCCATGTCCTTGCAAGCAGAAAGAAGACAGACCAAAGTAACCCCATTGGGCCTCAAACCATCGGCTATCATTCTACGAAACAGAGAAAAAGCATCCACGTTCCTTAAATTTTCAACAAAACCGCACATCATTGCATTCCAAGATACCAAATCTCTGTCAGCCATATCGTCAAACAGCTTACGTGCGGCATCTAAAAACCCACATTTGCAGTAGAAATCAATGAGCGCGGTCATAACCTTTGTGTCATCAATCAGGCCGGACTTGACAATGCCGGAGTGGATTTTTCTACCAAAGTTGACGTTTTGAAGCCTCGCGCAGCCTTTGAGGATCACCGGCAGCTGGCTTTGGAGAGGGAAAACGCCGGAGGCTTCCATTTCTGAGTAGGATTCGAGGATTGCTCTGTCGTTCTTGAGCTTGATGTGGTGCTTCAGAGTCGAATTCCAATCTCTTGGGTTGTCTTTGATTCGGGCTTTTTGGGAGGGAAGAGGGAGGATGTGGAGATTGAGAAGATTGGAGCCCCCCATTCTGGAGAAGTTCAGCAATTTAGCAATGGGCAAGCTCCGGCCGCCGAGTTTAACGGCTCTGAATCACCGGCGGCGTCAGTGATCAGCCGTGTCAGTCCAAGTGATTATTATGATCATTGAAGATTCCAACGGTTAAAGGTTAAGGACAGTTTGCACCATCCAAATCTACAAATAGTTGGGTATCTAATAGTTTGCATATCAAGTTGTCTCGGTTTGGAACTGTTTTTTTTTTTTTTTTCACTGCTTTCTAAATTAAATTTTTTTAGAATAAAAGTTATTATACAAGTTTTTTTTTTATAATTTATATTAAAAATTTATAATAAAGTTGTTATAAACTAAGGTTTTATTTGGGACACCTTTTTTACTGCTTCTTAAAACGACTTTCTAGTAAAAAAAGTTGTATTTAAAAGCTGTTTTAAGAAACAGTAACAAAGTCATCTCAAACAAAGACATGAGTCTTAGGCTTTGTTTGGGAGGGCTTTCTTATTGTTTCTTGAAGTGGTTTTTTGGTATAAAAATTTTAATTTTTATACTTGTTGCGAGCTAGAATATACGTGACGATAGAGTTTGTAAATTTGCGTCCTAGCGTTGTACGAGTATTCAGCACACAAACAGAAAAGAGAAGTGAACACCAAGGTTTTTACGTGGAAAACCCGAAAGAGGGAAAAAATCACGGGGCCTCGCCCAGTTGCAAAGTTCTACTAGTATTTGTTTGAAGTACAAAGGTTGATCCGTCTTACAAATCAAGACGATCAATTTACAATCAACTTCTCACAAAGTTAAAAAGTTTTGCAAATTCCCGGCGTTTTCCGAAAATCCGGCAGAATTTCGGCGTCTTCAGGTGGCAGGAAGAGCTCCGGCGGTGGTCAAGGAGGAGCTTCTTCCTTCTCCTCCATCTTCTCTTCTTCTTCTCTCTCTTACCTTGAGTCCCTTTTGTATAGAATGAGGGCTATATTTATAGTTTTTCTGGAGTGGCATTGCCCGTAAATAGGTGTGAGATCATGGGCGAATAGGGAGTGGTTCGAATGGACGGCCGATATTGAACCCTTCGATCGTGCACCGTTCGTTGGACATTTAGAGGCCTTAATGATGTCAAAATTCGGCGATCTTGGGCTCGTTGGATTCGTCTCGTCGAGCCAATTGATTCGAGTATAAAATCGTCAAAATCGGAGACCGTTTGGTAACTCAAATTGTGGCTTGAACCTTCCAACAGCGCTTCGGGTCCTTGATTCGGACTGATTTGGACTCAGATTGAGTTGAATTTGGTGTCGTTGGGTTCGTATTTCCGAGACGCTCAGTTTGACAGTAAGCTCGCTGAAATCGGAGTTCGGG